TTCCAGAGTGGGTGAAGGGAAGTGAAGGATAACATTGATCTAGAAGAAGGAAAATATTTTACTGTATCTGCAGCTCCTTTATGAGACAATTTGCACTTTTAAAAACTGCTTTTTAACACTAATACTTTAACCCTTTCCAAATATGCATGGAACATGGTTTGTCCAGCACACTTACCTAGTGTGGATGAATTACGCTCTGTTGAACAGATTTGATATTCTATCATGTTGAACTGTTGGTGAAAGATGTGCATTGATCAGTGGATCCCACCGTTCAATAGTGGATGAAACTTCACTGAAGCAGACTTAATCCCTCGTATTGCTTTTGAAAAGATTACATAAAGATTGTCTTTGGATGGGAAGACGAAGGTGTTAGTGACTTTGGTTGTTGACACTTCTGATATTTTCTAGAATAAGTAGTTGAGATGCAAATAACTGATGCTAACTTTTCTTATACTGGCAATCTAAGAAAAGAGCTAGTGAGTTTGGTTTACTATTAAGTTAAACCAAAAACTGGTCCAAGGTAAGTGTCATTAGAAGAGTATAGATATAAACTAGCAGTGGCAGGGGAAGGAGTGTTTGCTGTATTTTTATTTTTAAGGGTTAACTTTGCACCAGTGTGCCTTCCCTTCCTGTTGGGGGTGCTTGGGACCTCATAATTTCAAGTGACGTCATTCAGCGTCACTAGTTTTTTCTCCCCCTTACAAACACTTGAGAGAAATAACAGGGTAGTAGGATTCAGCTTTTCTTTCTTCCCTGTTTAGGTTGTGGTGAAATCTGCTATGTTTTCCAGTAGATTTTGCACACAGGCTTTGTTCTGAGTAAGTCAAAATACAATCCATCCAGTTGTGATTTCTTAATTGGAGGAAAAGAACATCTGCTGTTTGCATTATTACTACCAAAAAGGCAATCCAGCGAAGTGTCCAGGAAAATGCAGATGTACTCTTTCCTCCACTGTTTCTGGAAGCTAAGGTGGATATTGCCCTGCTTGACCAGAGGGTTTGTTCAGGAAGGTAGCTGGATTTGATGACAGGGCCTTCTCATGGTACTGTTGAACTGAAATTAAGTGTGATTTTAGGCAAACTGGCTTATAATGCCCGTTGGTCTTCGTATGTGAACAGGATCCAAACAGCATTTAACCTGATAGAAAAAACAGCCCTCGCTTCTGGCTTTGGTCCCTGTCCACATAATGCGATCAGACTGTTGGAAATACGGTATCACTGTAACAAAGTCAAAACAGTTCATTGGAAATGAAAATATGGTTTAGATGTACATAGGTGCATGGGTAGGGCTGGGCTTTGCCTTTATGCCCTTTACCGTGTAGCTGTCTATATATGCACTTGGGCTTTCCATTTGCTGCAGCTTCAGAGCAATAAAACGTATCTCCCCTGAACTGTACCTAGCCAGCCGCCCATGGCTTTATTTATAAACTGCGGTTTTGGTTGGGTAGGAAAGGTGAGTGTGTCACTGTGCAACATCCACTGCCTTCCAAAAACCACGATTCAATTGAAAAGGGTGCTCAAAATTTTGTTATACACATTTCCTTTGTGTAAATAAATGTTTACAATTTTATATTAAAGATTTGAATAAGAGTTAGATCTTCTGACTGTATATTTTTTACTTTTTATAGATTTTAAAACTATAATTCTTTATATATGTGTTTGGGGGTATTATGGTAAGTTTTATGCTTGTAAATGGAGAACAGTTGAATTTGATGCTAACCTTTATGAATTTTTGTCTTTGAAATGTATAAAGAGTCCATTAATCCCCTTATTCTTTTACTACAATTACTGGTGCACACCAAAAAGAATCCTTCACTTCTGTTTTATCATTATAAAATAAATATTTTGCTAGTGTATTAAACATACATGGTGTGACTTTATACATTTGTGTCAGCTGAGCAGAGTTGAGCGTTGTTGTTCCTAGTGAGGTGGTTCCTTTCATTCCAACACGCAATTTTGGTCAGCCTGTTACTAAGGCTCAAATCCCTCTGCTGTGTCTCACCAATTCTTACGGTTTCAGAAAGTCCATTTAAACAGGCCAGAACTGGATAAAGAGACCTTAGAAAACTTCCTTCGAAAACAAGGCTTTATGCTACACCCACTGCTTCTGGACTTTTTTAATGCAGTTGTAGGCCTTAAGCTAGGAAATACGACTGCAGAGGTGGTTGTTACTAGTGAAAAAGATGTTAATAACTACGGAGACCTCACATGTGCAAAATTGTAGAGTTCCAAAACTGCTCAGATTCCCTCAAAATAACAGGCCTTAGAGGTTCAAACTGGTTTCCTTGAGACTTGTAAAAAGACAAAGATTACGTTTGTTTGATGTAGGCAGGTTGCACAAAGAAAACCAAACTGAGAAATGAGGAACACGTACTGCAAGCATGAGATAATGTTTCTGAACAAGGAACAAAATAACTGGCAGCGAGTTGCAGGAAGATTTTGGCTTAAAGCTGGTAAGGTCCCTAAGCCGCTGCATAGGGCTGGTGGGTCGAAGAGGCTGTGGAAAATAATGGCAAAACAGAGCTTTCAGACCCTGCTGGATTGTTGAGCCTCTTAAGAGGGAGACTTGCATGTCTGTTGGTTAGAAGAAAAGTAAAGCAATGATCCGTGGCTCCATCAGTGCCCAAAGGAGCCTAGCCTTAGTGGTGTGTGTTTGGATGTTAATATGTTCTTGTTAACGAGTTATTACTTGACGAATTACTCTGGATTGAACACTTCAAAGCATCTCTCTTAGTGAATCATACCACTTGTAGCAGACCCAAGAATTCAGTTATTTATGTAATGTTTCCTGTTTGTCAAGTACGCCTTTTAACGGATGATATCTAGTCTTAATTTCTAAACTAACATCTCAGATCTCTCCAACCACAGATTTAGCAGTAGCGATAAAGAAGAATTTGCAAAGTGTGACACATGCATTTCTTGTTAAGGCTGTATGCATTTTACATGTTACTGTAATTTCAAGCATCCCCCTATGTAGTAAGAATTTTAATTGGCTTCAAACATTGAAGGATCATTCTCCAAGCGTTGAAGTTGGTGTCTTGCCATATAGCTGTTGTGTTTAAGGCCCCAGCTCAGAGCCTTCAGGTTTCCTCACAAAGTGCATCCTGACTTACCTGAGTATATTTGGAGTATATTCCTACTCTACAAGTTTTGAGTTGTGTTTGGGGGGAGGAGGGGACCTGTAACTTCAGAAGCTTATAAAGAACTAAGTATAATAATAAGTAACAATACCAGGATGAGCTGCTTCTAGCCTGTGGGGAACTGTGAAGTTACTACTTTATTAACTTCTGCTTTATTGTCCCATTAAAAGTGCTGCATTGTATTTAATGTTGAGTAAAACAGATTTCCCAAACCATCCCCTGTTGAAGCGATGTGCATGTGTGTTTTTCCAAAGATTTTAAGGAGTCAGTGGCAGCTTGTGACCAACCTCTGCTCAGAAACTGATCTCTTTTTTCTTTTTTTTTTTTGCTTGATGTTAGTGTTTTTCCTCAGGCTAATGTAACTCTGTAATGGAAGTGATTCTAAAGCCTGAATTGTTTGTTGAGATGGTGTAAGCAGAAGTAGCCTCCTGGTGACGTTTCCCCTCTGACTTTTACATTGGACACCCCAGATGAAATCTTGGGTCACCAATAGATTCTGTTAAGGTTAATTGTTTTATTTCTATTTCAGTCTGGGTCTGCTAGCAGCCTGGAGGGTCAAAAGTCATGTCTATGAGTGTTTTGCAGAGAACGGGAGTGGTTTTGCTATTCTACATGCATGTTTTACAAAAAATGTACAGTTGTATATTTGAGTTGAGTGTTCAATTTGATAAGCTGTCACGACGGGGTTTTGAGGTGACAAAGATCCAAACCAGAAGAACGAACTTGCTGCGTCCCACTCGGGAGAAACTGTCCGGTCGCTTCGTGTTGGTATTGTGCACAAATTCTGTACTGAGGTTTTGTGTGTGACTGTACAGAGAGAAATGCAATAGCTCAACAGTATCCTGTCCCCTTTCTTCACTAAAATTAAGGGAAAACCTCAGCTGATAATGAATTATACCTTTGTTTTTTCCTTTTTGGTTTTAAAATCTTTAAAGTCAGTAGTCTTCTATCCATATCCTGTGTTTTGGAGCAGCTTTATAACTTTTTGAACCGATGCATATTCTGCTTTTGTGGACTGGGGAGAAAAGTTATTCAGGCTAAAATACTGCTGTTTTTCAAACTTGACATTTCACAGTTACAATTCTGATGCCAGTGTAACATTTCTGAGGGTCCACGTGTTTCTACGTCCTATGCTGCCGTCCGTTCTGAACTGAGAACTTTTATTGTGTATGTTAGCCAGGAAGAAGTCTGTATTGCAGAATTTTAAAAACACCAGAAAACTACAAAAAGTGACTGAGCACTACTGAAGGACTGTACTCTGGTTTGGTAAACTTACGGTATTAATTAATAGGATGAATACCTTAATGCTCTTTAAAAAATCAGAATCCAGTAACAGAATTAAGTTATTCCAGCTGAAGTCTAGAAAATCTTTTGTGTGGTCAACTCCACTACTTGGAATAAGAGCAGAAGGTCAAGTCATTAATTTGTAAATGCTTGTTAATAATTTTTACAACGTTGCACATAATTTAGATGCTTTAGAGCTGATTAAAACTAGCAATAAAAGGGCTGGAAAAATCCCCATCATCTTTCAATTGCTGGCAATATAGAATTCAATCATGGTACAAAATCTAATTGTAAATATAATTGCAAGAATTTCACAGTTGGCGCATGCAAAACTTCTGCTGTTACGTAGTTCAGCAGAAGGCACTTGTCTCGAAAAGACGTTTTCTGCTGGCTGGCTGCTTTGGAAAACTGTGTGGTGTGGGGAGAGTTAATGTGTGGTGGAGGAAACACGTGTTGCTGCAGAGCAGTAAGAAGGCTCTGTCGTAGAGCATGTGGTAGTGGGAGGGTGGGAGAGAGGATTTGGAGAGCAAGCTGTACTCATCGCACCTGGCTAGGGTTTTGGTCCACAATCGGCAACATGAGAAACCAGATAGACCTGCTGGCCACTGTCACGGTTTTGGGAGTCCTGGAGCAAGGTAAGTGTCCTTTATGTAATGCTAGGTAGTAGTAAGCTAACTATATTAAACTTCATGGAACTTGGTTCCTGTATTTTGCTTGGAGTCTCTGTGGAATGAAAGTTGCTGTTTTCCAACATGTTAAAACGATGCAAATGTTTGGCCATTCGTGGTGGAAGTGTCATGCCTGAGGATGTTCATTATTTAATAGGAACTAAAAAGATCCGCAAACCTCAAAGCCAGCTGCTTAGAAGGAAATGAAATGTAAGTTTTACTTTTAAACTTAAAACAATTTCAACAGTAGAATGTCTTTTAAAGTAAAATATTTCCTGTGATTGAATTTTAGCAGGTAATTTGTTACTTAGAGTGGCTGGAGGTAGCCAAAATAAAGGCAGATTAATAAATATGCTGGTGAAGAGGTCAGTGTACAAACATACATCGTACATATATAGAAAAGAGCATCATGTACGCATGTATTTCTCCTCTGTGACCGATATCGTTATGTGTTCAATTCATATAGCTTAGCTGCACGGAGCAGACGACAAGATGAGTTGACAGCACACAGTAATTTGGAAACTAGTGCAAGCCCTTCTGTTCAGAAATAGACACGGACATCTTCAAAGAAACTCGGCAACTTCTCATAATTTAAATAGATGCGTTTGCTTTAGACCATTTAGAAAGAAGCAGTAGTGTTGCCAAGCTCTGTCTACCTCTTGCGTTTAATTGTGGGTCCTTTGGGCAAAGGCCTCTCCCCCCTGGGCCTCGGGAGAGTCACGGAAGGGGACGCTGCCCCTGCCTGGGGTGGGGACAGAGCACCCGTTTTATTCAAATCTTCACATTTCTATGAGGGAAGGTTGGTTTGTGGTTTTTTTTATTACTGAATTAATTCACTGTATCACACCTCTTTGCTTACAAATGAATGTGAGTCTCTGAGCAGCCTGATGTATTTTTAGCCATCAGATGATAAATCTCTCAATATAAGCATTATTTAAAACACAAATATGCTACTTGAAGAACAGAGTTCAAGATTTCTGAGTTATTAGTAATTTCCTTTCAAACAACTTACAGAGAAATATCAGCAACTACAAATGGAAGATACTTTTGTCTTATGAATTTTTTTGTTATGAATCACAAAAAACTAGTTTGAAAGGTTCTGCAGAGTAGATTGAACTCTTTTCCCGAGAAGTCCATGCTGAGGAGGCTTGTGCAGTGTGGTTTTCTTCAACACCTCATTCTGAGAACTGTTTTTGGAGGGTAATTCTTCATCCTTAATGCTTCACCCATACACCAAGTTTGGAGGACAGCTAGCCGTCCTCCAAAAGGCTCTTGCTCCTCTTGGGTGGGTGGTTTATATATTATCCATCCCCAAGCATAAGAGATCTGTTGCAGGACTTGTCTGAATATTTGCCCCTGTATACAAGCAAGATGTTAAGCATAGAGTTGATGGAGAGGTTGGGTCTGAAATGATTCTTGCCGTGCTCGTCAGTCACAAGAATGCTACATTAGGAAGGGTGCGGATGGCACGAAGCAGGATGAAGGCCGTTGCCTAGCACAGTCAGGCTTATGCCACAAGCCAGAGCTGCGCACGATGCAGCAACTTTAGCTCAGTCCATTTCTTGAGAGGTGGCTGGGATGAGACCCTGAGAGCATTGAATAGTTGCGTAGGAGAGATGTGCTTATCTGATGTGAAGAGGAGGTAACAGGACAGGTCATGTTTTCATCATCTTTTTCCCAGAGCTCTGTCAGCCGCTGCTGAATTTGCCAGTTGTGCGTTACTGCAGACCTAGCGGTCTGTTTTCACAGGGGGGGTGCTGTGTTACATCCTGCCGCATCTCAGATGCAGGATGATATCCTCCCCCTCGACCGCAATCAGCATGCTACCCACAAATCAGGAGGGGAAAAGCAAACTTGCTCCTCCCCACCTTTCTCTCCCAGCACCTCTTGTTTAGAGCTGGGTCACTGCAGACAGCGTGGAAGACACTAGAACACACACGTTTTCTTAAGTGAACGTCCATGTATTTAAATGGATAATATGTTGTGTAATACACAGGTCGCATAGCATCAGATTATTTACATTTCTAATTCCCTTTTCTCCTACCTATGTTTTAATGCTTTTCTGCAGGCACACATGGATCTGTCTTGTCTTTAATCTTGCAACATATGTCCCTACTTTCCTGCTGTTCTGCTTTTATCTTCTTTGTTAGAAGAAGGCAAGGCAATCCTTGCAGCCTGGCTTCTTATCTCTCTGTTCGATGCTCTGGAAATGTTGCTACGTTAGGACCTTGCCAATCCAAGTCACTCGCTCAGCAGCACGCTGCCACAGCCACCAAAGTAATTGTTTTTTATAACTTAGTTTTCTCTTATATGAAAATCCTTGTTATCCATAAAGGCAACAATGTAGTAGTGCACCTAAAAGATAAATACTTGAAACATCAGCAGCCACCTGTGATTGTAAGAACTTTCATCAAATAGTGAAACAGTCCAAATCTTCATGTTAACGAGTTTTTACCATTAAGAAGTGACTTTCCATGTCCCTTACAAATGTTCAAAGGAGCGACGTAGCAGACGCAGAGTTAGAACCTCGGCCCAAACTTGGCACAGGCAGTCGTTGGCAGCATGTCTGCTCCTTGAACTGTTCAAGCCTTGGGACTACCCTGCAGGAATGAAGTGGAAGAAATAATCTCCCCCTTCCCCATTTCCTTATATTGTCATGATTATGAGCATCTCTAATCGACTTGACATCCCAGTGCTTCACAGTTTGGATGCTGCTCCGTGACATGGTGCTGTCCTTGCACAAAAGCTTTGTGCCCACTGGGCATAGTGGGAGGCGTTATACGTTATTCCCATCAGACTGGCTGAGGGTGTACTAATACTCTAAATACAGAGTGCAAGATTAAAAAAAGAATCATAATTCTGTGATGGCATGTGGACTCAGTAAGGTTTTAATGTGTGTTGCTGGCCTTCCTGCGCGTGTTTGATCTGTTGGGGAGCAGCACCGAGGGCTCTGCTGCCGCGTGCTGGGTGTCAGACTATGCAAAGCGCCAGCCAGCACGTCGGCTCTGTGGTACGTGTGCTCTGCTAGGACAACCAAATCAGAATTTAAAGTACGAGCCTGAAATAAATGGCACATTTATTCCAGGTCGTGCGTGACAGCCCTGGACTATGAACCTAGACAGTATCAGCTCTGTTCCTCTAACCACTTGCTTGATTCCAAGCTAGATAAAGCTTGGCTAAATAAAAGGCTGCTGGACTGTTACCGCTCCTGTGTTCTTTTCTTTAGCCTATTTTGCGCTGCAGGTGATCTATGCCCGGCGGAAGTACAAGATCTCCCCTCCCGAGACAACAGGTCACCCTGAATTTGAGCGGATCTTCAGAGCTCAGTAAGATTTTGACTTTTTTGTGGTGACTCCATCTGGATAAGACTTGAGTCAAATGTCACTACCAGGAAAGACTGAAGTCACCCTCAAGTCACTTTTTCACTTATTGCTGCTGCTGATACTAAATTTTTTTTTTTTAATGCTTTGCGTGCAGAGGTCTGAGTTTGGATTTGGAGCACTTTGCTCTGGCTGGAGTGTTTCTGTCCATCCATGATAATCCTCCTTCTGGCATCGTCAGAGGCAGCCAAATTACAAATTAGTGTCTGTATGGAAGAGGTGCTGAGCATTAATGCATTATAATCATGAAGTTTAATATTAATGTTGGCTCCAAATTGTGAGAGTAGCTGAAGCTATATTAATAAACTAATACTTGCTCGTAAGTATTTGCTGTTGAATTGAAGCAAAGGGCCTTGCTGGCAGAACCAGCTACGAGGACGTTTTTTTCTTTTTGTAAACCATTGTACTGTGAAAGTAGGCACTCGTGGGCCCATGCCGAGAGCTGTTTCTTTTTGCTCTGTTCCTATGGAGAGAGCAATGCTGGAGCTAAACTGGAAATATTCACAGATCCCTTTGGCTTCCAGCAAGCACCAGATTCCGTCTTTCATCTCAGTCATGCTGTTTTGTAAGCGATTGAAAGGAATTGGCCGGAGCTGGTTTGAAGGGTAGTTCGAGCACGGCACTAAATCCTGAACAAAGCAGCTGCATTTCCTTGCCAGCGTGCAGGAAACATTTGTGGAGTGACAAAAACACCCGTTTCGGTCCTTTTGCAAGGCAGTGAAAGGCTAGCCTGCATGAGAGGCAGCAGCCTTTGCTAGCTGGGTAGCTGTTGATAAGGCTTTTAATTAAATACCGGGCTGTGCGTTAACAGAGTTGTGATGTGGGCTGCGGTGTACCGGGAAGCCCTCTGCTATATTCTGCAGAGGAGGCAACCTCAGGGAACTTGAGTTTGAGAAGGTATTTCTTCACTGTGGGCTTTTTCCTCCCTTTATTCTTTTCCCTGTGGAAAAGGATACAAATGGATAATTTGTTTTGATAGATTAAAAAAAAAAAAAAGAGGGGAAGAAAGGTATTGATTTATTACTCACTCGTGGAAACCTGGCAGCCTCCCCTTGCTGAGGCTCAAACTGCATTTGCAGCGTAACGTTCTTCAGACTTTTTTCGAGCTCCCAGTCTGGCTCCATTCCCCCAAGGCTTGGTAAATTTTTGGCCAAATTTAAGGTTAAATTGGCTAGGGAACGGTTAAATGTGGGAGAAATCGAGAAACAAAACCATTGTCTCTAATAGCACAGCTCCCACTGTCCTTTCTCACAGAATATCTGTATTTTTGTCACTAAAAGAAAAAAGAAGGAAGAAAACCTGGCTGCAGATCTGATCACCTTCTGCTGAAGTAAATCTGGGAGAAGGCTCCTTCTTGGAGCATGACTTGTGTGACACCCGAATTTGAGCTGTGCTCACCCAAGGGGAAGAGAATGCTCCTTAAATAATGTTGAGGAACCTCTACCCTTGCAGCTTTTAAGCCGTAGCTGCACCAGATGTCTGTGAAGGCACTGTGTGTGGGCCTGAGGATGGAGCCTGTCCAGCAAAGACGAATCTCCATCTTGGCCACGGCTCATTGTTGCAGGGTCCATGTGAATGAGAACGAGGTGAACGCTGTGTGTTGTTTGGGTGCTTTTCTTCTCTGAAATACAGATATTGGGTGTCCTTGGTCACAGAAAAGGCCCTTTCTCCCCAGCACAGCACAGCAATGCCTCTTACCGGCCTTTTCAGTTTGCTCCGACATGTGTTTCCAGCTCACCTCTCTGGCCTCGGTTAACTGATCTCTGACGTACGGGGATGCAGTTTTAATGCTCATCTCTGGTTCCTACCAGGGCGAATTGCTCAGAGTACTTCCCGATCTTCATCTCGCTCCTCTGGGTTGCTGGAATCTTCTTCCATCAAGGTAAGGGGGATGGGGGGGGATGACCCCAACCCAAACCACATGTATCACATGGTCAGCCCTGAACTGGTCAGGCAGTTGGACTAGATGATAGTTGTAGGTCCCTTCTGACTGAAATAGTCTAGTCTAGTCTATTCTAAACAAACAAACAAAAAACCAATTTAAATCCCATTGCGGCTCAGGCATGTCCTCTCTGTACCTGTGAGGCTGTTACTTGGGGAAAGGAAAGTTCCCCTTTGGCCAGATGGACCAAGGAGTGCCCCAACTCCAGCGTGCATGAAGCTGCTGGTAGCAGCCAAGCCGGTCTCCTGCCCAGAGGAGAGGTTTGTTGGCTTTGGCAGCCTGTGCTCCGCTGCCAGCACCCAGCCGTCCCCCCATGCTTCTTCTCTTAGATAAGGTCAGGTTGGCCCGTGGTGCCAGGGCGGCGGTAGGGCCGAGAGCAGCATAGCTCTCTGCTTTGCAGGCTGCTGCTTCCTGCTGCGCTGGGGAAGGAGCAAGCTGAAGCTGAGCTGCAACACGATACCCAAATCGCTATGTCAGAGTGAGAAACCATAACCCAAACAATTAGTCATCCACGGTCCATCCGGTACCAAGCGGGTTTAGGGGATTTGGCTGCCGCTGCGGGGAAGATGCGAGGAAGGACCATGGCAGGGAGCGTGGCGAACCCCAGCCCCATCAGGACTCGGCTTCCCTTTCCCCCGCAGGTGTGGCCACGGTGTGCGGGCTGCTGTACCTCTACACCCGCTTCAAGTACTTCCAGGGATACGCTGTGGCTGCGCAGGGACGGTTAGTACCCGGGGGCTGCGGGCACCCCAAACCAACCCAGGGAGGCTGGGTGCAGGATGCGTCCCCTGGGGCAGGTTTCCTTCCTGTGGGTGGTACTGAAGGCAGATTTGCATCCCCCCCTTCTGCCCCCCCTCCTGCCCCACAGGCCCCTGCTCGTGGTCTCACCAGCTCTTCCCCAGCGCAGCCTCGGAGGAGGATGGGGGGATGCCAAGCCCTTGCCAGCATGCTTCGTGTCCCGGGTTGGCTGGCGGTGTCTGACGGTGTTTTCTCCTCATGCAGGTTGGGGCCGCTGTACGCCAGCGCCCGGCTGCTCTGGCTGCTGCTGGGGCTGGCAGTGGCTGGGCTCCTGGCACACTTCCTGCTGCCCCACTCCTCTGCATGGGTGGCAGGGCTGGCGCAGCCCCTCCAGCTGCTCGCCGCCTGGTGAGCGGGGCTGCGGCTCTCCCAAGCCACTGCTCACCCTTGGCGGAGGGGAGCGCATGGTCTGTGACTATCTCCCCAGCTCTGTGCTTACCTTTGAAGGGAGGCAGATGCTGGTACTCCTCTGCTCCCAAAGCTCTGCTCTTCAGAGATAACTTCCCTTCTAGAAAGCAAACGCTGCCCAGCCTCTGCCCCTGCTGATGGGCTTCACTGTCAGGTTTTGTAGCACCATCTGCTCTAAAACCTTTAATGTGTTGGCTCTGCCTCGTGGACCATGGGTTGACCCGTATGCTGTCGTCACTCCTCCTTACTGCTGTAATGATCTATGTTGAAGGATCACACCATGGGTATACAAAAAATAAATTCCTTTTCTCAGTAGAAATCACCTGTGATTGTCAAAGGTGTGTGGGGACTGGGTGTGAGAACATCTGAGGGTTAGGGGACTGGGTTGCATGGGAAAAGCTGCTGCAATTAAAACTAACTTGAAAGGATGGGTAAACTTGTCTAAAACCTTATCTAAATTTTGGGGAAAAAAGCCTGACTCTAGTCCAAATGCTAATGTCAGTGTTTGGCATTGACCTGAATGATCTTGACTTGGCCCTGACTTCACTTATCACCGACCCACCACTAGGACTTTGCCCTCTCTCCGGATTTCAACCTCCACTGCAAACTTGGGGTTTGCAGGTAACTAAAGCAGGCATCAAGCAGGCAGCTCCTTGCTAAGCTGTATGTGGGTATAAAAAACCAATGTATTTTGTAAGAAAGACAACTGTCCCACAATTGTACCCTTGGGTGTACAGGTGCCCAAGCACCTTCCCTGCTCCCTGATGAGGAAAGACCTGACCAACCTTTCTTTTTTTTAATAACTGGTGAAGATTCCTGTGGTGCTGGGGCAAAAAATAACCAGTCTCCTACTGGGCTGCTCTAAGTGCTTTGCCCAGCATGAGCAATGCTTTGGGAGTATCAGGTAGTGGCGAGCGCCGAGGAATGACTCCATTTTGGGTGTAGGGGCTACAGCTTGTCCCTGACCCCCAGGGACATCCTGGGGAGGGGGAACAGGCAGGCAGAGCCAGAGCCTGTGCCTCCCTGCCACGAGTGACTCTCACCACCGCACCAAAGGTTTAAATTTAGATTTTATTACAGTGCACATTATTTTATATATTTATATATAGAGATGTACTTGAAAAATCAAATGTATCCAATAATAAAAAATACAGCACATGAAAGTAGTATAATGCATTCCAGTGTATAGCTGAAGAGACATTGGGATTTACACTAATCCCTACTATTTCTCAACTGGGCTACTTCTGCTTTTTTCCACCCCACCCCCCCAAAAAACCTCACACCAATCAATAACTGAAATAGTTATTTAAAAAGATGGTTTCTGCACTCAATCTCAAGGCATGAAGACACTGGAGACTTCACCGTGAGTTAAGGGGCTGTGTTCAATGCTGGCAGGCACAGTGTGGCATATTTTATTTTTTTGTTTTCCCTGCCATACTCATAGCTCCAACCCCTTTGGATTCGCTCCTCCTCTGCCAAAGGAGGGTCAGTCTTCACCCTCGCTTAATCCTCAAACTTTGGCCAGGACCATTGCCTGGGCGAAGGCAAGGCAGACCTTGGTCCCTGGCCATCTCCATCCCAGCTCGCCTGCAGGGTCAGCCGGCAGGACTCAACGTGACCAAGCCCCCTCTCTGTCCCTAATACAGCCAGTGCTTGCCCTGTCCTGGGCTGAAGGTGCTTTTAGTCCCCGCACTTGCTAAAGCTCATCCCGTCCCCAAACTGTCCCGTGTTGGTGCGGCCCGAGTGGCACGCGTGGCAGCCAGGCACCCGTGAGGGGCCGAGGGAGCGCCGGGGCCTTGCCGAGGGGAGCAAAGCCAGCCCTCTGCACGGGAGATTGGTTTTTGCTTTTTGCTCTTCTTCCGGAGAAGACGATGTCGTGGCCCCACAGCACCGGCTGGGGATGGTGGTGCCGGCCTGGCAGCCGGTTTGCCGAGGCCTGTCCGTGTGTGTCACCTCCTGGCAGCCGGGCCTGCGCCTCGCCAGCGTGGCTGTCCTTGTGCCCGGGCCGGGCGCCGCGGGGAGGAGGGAGCGGGAGGGGAGGGAGCGGGACCGGGATCCACGCGTGTGTCCACTCTTCCTCACGCCCACGTCACTCTGCTTTTTTGATAAAAATCTGAAAGGAGAGAGGGCTGGGATCAGAGAGAAGCCGGCGGAGGCAGCGGGGAGCCCCAAGCGAGGAGCTGGGCAGGGCTGTCCCTCTGCCGAAGAAGCCCAGCTTACCTCGCTCAGGATGATCCACACTGGGGAGTCGGTCTGGATGGACAACCTGATGGCCTCCAGCGGCCCGAAGGATGGGTCCACCTCGCCCTCCGCAACGCCCTTGGTTTTTTCCCCTGGCAGCCAGCCCCCCTGCCCCCGCAAGGGGACTGCGAGCAGCCATGGCAGCCCCCTGCCCACAGCTCCCCAACACAAGAGAGAGGGGCTGAAAACCAGCAGTATGGACATCAATACAGTGCAAAATGCTACACTGAGGGGAACAAAAAAATCAGCTGAACAAAACAAAATGGGGAGTATTTGGCTACACATCACTGCTGTGCAAAAGGGAGGCAGAGTGGCCTGACGGCAGCACTGTCCTGTAAGAGACAAATGTCGGTTCAGGATCCACACCATGGAGCCAAGTCTCACATCCATAGTGCCAGCAAGGTCTCAGCCTGTTGCTATGTCCCATTTTTGGGTGTGATTTTTTTTTTTTTTTTTTTGGAAAATGCAACTGGGAGAAACCAGACAGCATGCAGAGGAATGCTAAAATGGCAAAAAGCTACGTGTACCAGGGAATTTTTCTTTTATTTGTCTAGTTAAAAAAAAAAAAAAGAAGTCTTAGTAGGGACACCAGGGCTTTACCACACACCAGTGGGTCCCTGTAGGCTGCAATCACTCATTCTTGTCCAAGGGCAGGACAAGCACTAAAACAAGCTCAGGTGACAGGAGACAAAGTCCAAGCTGCAAGCAGTGCGAGTACCAAGACAGGCTGTGGAGGGAGAGTACGAAATCACCCACGGCAGAGGTTTTTAAGACCAGGTTAGGCAAATGGCTACTCTGAATAATTTGGTCCCAGCTCTGAGCAGAGACAGGCAGAAACATAGGACTGAAAACTACCTGAAGAGGACACTTAGTCTAAGAGGGGAAGGAGGGCAGTGGAGGAGAGGAGACAGTGACAATTAAATCCTGGCTCCTGGCAAGCAGAAATTACTCTGTCAAGCAAATAGCACTAAGGAGTCTCAATTCACTTGAAGGTGAGGATATGGCTGTGTTATCAAACCCAGCAGGCAGTTTACCACCTTGCACCCTGCTGTACCTATCTGGATGTAGCCATCCGGTGTCCTGCGGTATTTGACAGCTGCTCCTCTTCCCTCCTGCAAGGCTTCCTTATCCGACTGTAGACTCTGCGGGAAGGAGAGGAGTTCTGCACAAGGCCAGTGGCAGGAGCCACCCAAAAACCCCAAGTAACAGCAGGAACCCCGGAGCTGCCCTCGCCAGCAGCCCTTGGCATGTCATCCCCCCGCCTGGCACCCCAAGCCTCATGCCCCAAAACAAGAGGACATCTGCTGCCCTCAAGCTGCTGCTTCCACTGCACCATCCTGGCTCCAACCCCCTCCTCTGCAGCCGTCCCATCCATCTGAGCATCCCCTCTGCAGGCATGGATGGCTCCCATAGTGACTGTTCAGGGCAGCATCCCCGCTCCCGAGGTGGTACCAGACCAGGTGTGACCCCCCTGGCTCCCATCCAGCATCTCTCAAAGGCACTTGAGTCCTGTAAAGATTTTCCTGACAGCTTTAAGCAGTTCCCTTCTCTCAAACCTCTTTTGCTTCCCACTCCACCCCCGTCTCAATTCTCAATAAAACACTTACGTCAAACGGCAAAACCTCCACAGTCGTATTGAAGAGTTTGTCTTCTGGGTGCTCGATGTTCCCGCTGCGGAAGAAGAACCTGTGACAGAGACCAAAGCCATGGAAACCCACACTGAGCGAGGGGGGACATGATGGCTTTCACCCCAGCTGAACCATCAAACAGCTCAACCTAACAAGCATCTTCCCAAAAAGCCCACGGGCACATGGTTTAGAAGGAGACCTTCTGTGCCAGATTAGCTACAGCGTGGATTGCTCACAAACACGGGAAAGCAAAGGGCTCCAGCAAACGTGGCCCCACCAAAAAAAAGGGTCAAGTTATCTTCCCTCTGGAACAGTACTGCTCCCTCCTCCTGGGCAGTCAAGCAGGAGACGGGCAAGAAATTCAACATGAGCCAGAAGAGCAAAAGGAAGTGTCTCCGCATGCTCCAGGCTGTCCCCACGTCCCTCTCTGCCAACCCCCCCCCCAAAGCACTGGCCTTTCAATGCGGAGTGGTTTGAAGAATCTGAATCTGATGAAGTCTCCGGCAGTGGGAGTGAAGGCCCAGAAGAAGTCGTCCCGCAGGTAAGCCTTCTCCAAGGTGAAGTGCTGGTAGGTTTTCAGGCTGGTGCTCACCTCCGCAGGAGGGTTGACGTGCTCTTTCCGCAAGGCCTGCTTGCCAAAGTCCTTGTCCTTGGTGGGCATAAAGCAAAAAGGCAGAAAAGGGTCATGAGCTGCTCTCGCCTGTGAGGAACAGGGGTCCCAGCAACAAGGCACCGCAAATTAAAAGCTCTCGATTTGCATAGTGCAGAAGGATGAGGGATGGAAGTGATCTGGGGAAGGCACCAGACAGGGCAATGTGTGGCTGGATGCCAGGAGGACACAACTTTAGGAGAGGCAGCACAGAGAAGCACCACTGCTCTGCACTCTGATCCAGCACCAAAGAGCCTTTCATTGTCCAAGCATTCCCAAACGCGTGTCCCTGCCCCAGGAGCTCTGCAAACAGCCCTTACACCTGAGGAGAAGGTGGCTGGGAGGCTGACAATGGCATAAACCGGCTGGATTACACAGCCTGACAGGCACTGCGCTGCGATACAAACTGGATTACACCATCCATTTACCTGGGTATTGGACAGACACAGGACTGAGCACAGCCCAGGGATGCGTGTCTATGGGTCCTGCACATACAGCTGTGGGAAGCTTGATTTTGTTGATGTTTAAATACACACAATTTAAGCTCTTACACGGCAAGCTCTAGTTTGCCTATCAGCAAATCCCAGAAATAAGGAGCAGGGTGGGAAGGAAGTCAGACCAACCCAGGAGTCCTCTCTCCAGGGTTTTTCAGTAGATGCTTCAAAATCACTTGCCCAGATCATGGTTTGGCACTCAAGATAGGTGGCCAGGACCAGTACCAAGGCTTAAAAGCTTGCAGCAACTCTTGGTACGTGTCACTGCCATGCTGAGAAGTAGGAGCTACATGAGCTCACTGTAATTCAGAACAAAACAAGCACGTAAATCCAGCTGCCACATCCCACCAGTTGCTGTCACTGATGTTCCCACCCCAAAAGCAGCCGGTTCCCATGTGCCTGCAGGCCAGGCCAGACAGAAAGGCTGTCTGCGGCTTGGACAGGCAGCTGGTACCCACCTTCAGCTTCTGTATCTTCCCGGCCAAGGAGGAGTGGGTTCCCACGTGCTGGAAGAGCGAGGGCTTGAAGCGGATCCTCAGGTTTGCCTTCTGCCTGTCGCAGTGTTTCTGAAACAAGACAATCCCGCAGTGCCCCATGCTTAAACCTCCACGGTCCACTGTGCCCCGTGAGAGGAACGGACAAGGGCACGAGGAGTGATAAACATCCCTGCCCCTCCACCTCTATGCCCTTCTGTGTTATTTTGGCTTTAATTTGGCAACAGGGTTTTTAACCGCACTCTGGAGGAACCTGACCGTGACTCTTGGCTGGTCACCCACCAGGCTCTGCCCAGGTTTAAGTGTCAAATGTCTCCTTGCCAAGCATAGCTTAGCAAACGCTGAGCAAATCTCCTCTGGGTGCTGTCAGGTAGGGACAGCCAGATAATTTTGTTTCTTTTTTCCTTGGCTTATCAGGAAAGCCTTTTTCCTACAACTCCGAGCTCGGGATCACTGATGTCTGAAGGTACAGTAAGTCCTGGGATGATTCAGAGCCTAAGTGAACAGGTAGCAATTGCGGGCTCTTTTCAGACGGGCAGAGTTTTCAGTTTGTTGGTAGATTTTGTTAGGCAGATATATGGCACGTGCCATTGTCTGAGCTGTTTGACTGTTTCACACCCATCCCACCATGTAAATAAACCTGGAGATGCAACTCTGATCCAGCCAGTGATTTTCCGTGGGGTGGAGGGAGAGAGACGATGGAGAAGGAATAAAAGACAAAGGGGAAAAACACTGAGAGCGTGGAGACAAGAACTCACTTTTTAAAAATAGTTCATTTCTCTCAGTTTCAGGGAGCAGGACAAAAATACAGGCTTAAAAACCAGAGGGAGAGGGCATTTGTTTTCCAAATTTTGCTTTTTCCAAGAAAAACAACACACACGCACCCCTACCACCATCTGCTCTCGCAACCTCCCACCCAAGAGCAACCCTGGCAGAAATCCCGCTGCCGGGCGCTGCGTCACCGGCTGCCTGGCACCAGGCAGGGCGCAGCGGGGAAAGCCAGCCACACCGAGTCCCCGCGATGGGCCGCCCACACGGGCCACCGCCACCGTGCCGGGAGCTGGGAAATTCCAGGCATGATCCCTGCAAGCTGCAGAGGAGATAATCCCCTAATCCAGCTCACGTTACATTACAAAATTAAAACTAGCCATGCTAATGGGAGAGACCCTACTCATTGCCAGCAACCCCAGCCGCAACCCCAGCAGGTCTGATCTCGCTCTGGATGGGGAGAGGAGGAGGAAGGGGAATGGAGGGAGCTACAGCATCTCCTGATTTAAAGAAGCATTTGCCGAAAGCAGCATTGTCTCAGCCGGGCCAGGAGGGGGAATGGCTCAGTTGGTGGTAAGAAGGTCATCCTTTCACACAGCTCTACCCCAGGTAAATCTAAAATTAGTTAAAAAAGAGCGAGCAGAATATATCCAGAGCAGGCAAAGCACTTACCAAAAGCTCAGGTCAAACAAACTTTCAATCAAAAAGACAAATCCTCCCCGCTACCAATTTGATTCTGCACAGTGGGATTCACAAGGGAAAGTCATGTTTGAAAGGGCACTGTGCAGAGTTAATCATGCAAACAGTGAGGAAAGGAGCCAGAAATCCACACGGAAAGTAGGTTAATTTTTAAAAAGGCAACACATCTAAGAGGTTTGCAGTTTCCCCTGGGAAAACCTTGGCTCCGCCAGGTAGGAGAAGATGAGCGAAGATGAGCTAAGGAGAAGATGATCCTGCACAGCAGGATCTGCATTTAATCAATGCTCAAGCTGAAGATTTTGAAGGGGGGGCACAGACAGCAGCATCGTTCCCAGCTCCATCCCAGCATCCTGCCACCTCGGCTTTGCCCATGGCTGTGAGGACGCTGGGGGCTGCGGACAGGCCTGGGGACTGCTCTGTCACACCTGAGCACATGGTTTGGACTGCCAGGAGGACACGATGGACATCATCTGAGACTGGCCCTGCTGCACATGGGGGACTGGAGCTGATGTCATGGCCTCTGCCAGGGATCAGGCCAAATTAAACCACATCCTTGCCCCAATTCTGCAGAGCCCTGAGGATGCCCTTCCCCCCCCCTCCCCAACACATAGATACAGTATTTATCCCCAGAGTGACCACTTGCTCTGGCATTTGCCACCACAAAGCAGTTGTGGCCATGAGGTCTGTCCTAAGTGACTGGCTTCAAGCTCTGCACGGGGACTCCGCTGCTCATTCTCTGCCGGGGGAGGAGGGCGAATGAGCATATGAGTAAATACAATATGTTCAGAGAGGAGACAGGAGAGTATCTGGTGCTGAGCTCATCTTCCACTTGCTGTCACACACACTCCTCCTCTGCCCTTCCCACTCACTTTAGCCCCTCGCTGCTGCTGCTGCTGGGAGTTCAAACACAACCTCCGCAGGGCACGGGGGCTTCTGTGCTGCCGTCTGCAAGGCTTCATGCAGACATGGCTCTGCAAACGAGATGGCAGCATGAAAACGGAGCCCATTTCACCTCTCTGCGCCCTCCTAGAAATCCCAATAAGAGCTTTGCGTGCTCTGGCTTCATTTTGGCACACTACGCGCGGCGGGCTTGCTCTTGGGTCATCTGGGGTGAGCTCTCTGGGCAGCCTGCGTGTGTGCTCCAGGCGGGTATGGCACACGAGCCCAGAGCCAAAGGGTTATTCTGGGGTTATAGTCAGCGAGCGGGGAATGGCTTCAGGGAGAGAAGCACACTGGCATGAAAAACAACACAGAAGAATGGGGAACAGCTACTCTGCTCGAGGACTGGAGGAGGAATACCCTGTTAGTGCTTAGATGCAGAAATAATGCCTTTTCTGGCAGCTGCAGACTACAAAAGCCTGAACTCCCAGGTCTTTGCTTACACAATCTGCAAGGACACCCTGCGGCACACTCCAGAGGGATGGCACGATTCGGCGCAAAGTCAGCACCAGAGCTCACAGAAAAGATCCTCTGGAGACACAGAACAAGCGTACATTTACCCACACACAACAGAAGGTTTCCCTTCAACAGAGGTTGTTTACATACTGCATCTTTTTCAGGGTTGCAGACTTTCACCCAAAGGATGTGATCCAACAGCCAGTCAATGGGTTTGTCCTTATAGAACATCAGGATGAACTCCACGATCAAGCTCAGATCCAGAGACTTGAACATTTTTCCTACAGCACAGAAAGAGAGAAGAGAGAACAGTTATGGTATGAAACCGTCAAGAATCAGAGCTGGGAAGAAAAAACTTTGGAGAGTGGGCTGTGGAGGTTGGATGTGTCCATCTCTCTACGTAAAGGAAATAGCGTGCAGCTCTGTTTTATGTACCAGTACTGCTGGCATTGCTAATACAGTTCCGGATTTAATATTCATCGCAGAATTAGAAAGCATTAGTGTCTCACAGGTCACAACAGTATCAAAAGGTCTAAAACTCTTCCATTCAGTAGGGAGAAATAAGGATGAAAAACATTCAGCCAGCTGCAGGACAGACCATTTCCTGCCCCGAAAACTATAAGTTTTAAGCCAGTCAAACCAGCATCCAAAATAACAGATCAAGCTGCTACTGCAACCATGTACTGCCGTTCCCAAAATAGTTCTGTGCTGATGTAAACTTCCTTTTGCACACTCTTAGGCAACTCCAGATCCCATCCAGCCTAAAAGCTACTGGTCACATCTAAGCTGTTTGGCTGTCAGCTGGGCCACCGACCAGGTTTATTTTTATTAAAAGTGAGTATCAGCAGTACCAGCTGTGAGGATCTTTCTCCCCTGTGCAAACACAAGAGACACTGCAAAAATAGGGAGGGACCAAGTCCAAGTATTTTACCATCTTGTGCAGACAACTCGTTGGACCAAGAGCATAAGCGCTTGCAAGAACCAGCAGGCACTTGTGTCCGTGCCTGATGGGACTGGGGTGAGCGGGGAGAACATTACCAATAAACCCCAGCTGAGAAAACTCCAGGATCATCCACTCTTCAGAGGGCTGCTGCAAGGCAAAGTTCTTCATCGTGCTGAGATAGTTTGGTTTGGCCACAATATCATCCTCCAGCTGCAAGAGGAAAGGACACTCAGTGTCAATGACCCATCCAGGTTCCAGTAAGAGCCTCTCTGTGCAGGGCAATCACGCCATAGACTGGAGGAAAGCTTTGGCACAGACCTAGTTTAGTTTGGAAGATGCTCCAAGCAGATTTTTCTCACCCAATCTAACAGGTAAATGAAACAAGGATTCCTTCCCTCCCTAGGCGGGAGGTCTCCAAATTCTGAGATGCTTTAGCATCTCAGAAACCTAGCTTTTGAACCTATCTATCTGGTTAAAACCCGCTCCCACTCTGCTGTATCGCACAACTGGACATGCTCTTTGCCCTCTCTCAAGCTGGGTACGAGCCACAGTGAACTCACAGGTACACCCATCTCCCCTCCGCCCCCAGCACCAAACCCACCTGCACGTAATATATGCCTTTGGACTGGGCATACATCATTAAAAAGCAGTAGTCGAGGTTTTGCTTTGTCCTCCACCTGCAAGAGACAAACAAGATGGGAGCGCTGATCTCTCCTGCGATACCGGGCTGCTCGGGGGAGCCAGCCGAGGCTGGGTTTAAGCCAGGAAGGTGACACAGCTCTTGGAGGAGGGGATGGCATACGGCCTCCCCCTTTTGGTCTCAAACTGGTCAGCTAAGAGTTACTGGAAAACCCAGGGACTTCCAAAATGAACATCATCTGGGTTAAAATGACCCCCTCACTTGGTGATGGAAACACCGCAGCACGAGGCAAGCCCTGCAAAGCTGGCACCAGTTCATAACATCCCCCCCCCCGTCCTTCCAGCTCTTGGACAAAGCAAGTTCAAGGGCCTCGCCTGGCCCTGTGGAAGAGCTTTCCCTGCTGGAGTCAGGGGGGGAGATGCTGCAGTTACTTAATTCAGGGCTTGGTTGGTTTTAAGCTCATTGATTCTTACCTGACTCTTTCCTTGGGGTCCCCAAAGGATTCCCGCAGGTGGGAGAAATCAGGATAGAAATGCGGAGACGGGGAAATTACCTCCAGGAGACCTGAGTGTATTTCCTTTGGGAATCTGAGGGAGAAAAGCAGCAGTAAACAAATACCTCCGTGTCTGACACACCATTTCATAGACCAAATTGCTGGGTAAACACTGAGCCGCAGAACCAAACAAAAAATACAGCCTCTAAGATAAAACTTCCCCAGCAGCTAGTGCACTTCCAGGCCTCACCAAAGGACATCAGGAGGGACTGCCCCGGAGTTTTAAAGCTGCTCTCTCCCTCCCATGGTCTCTAACAGCCCCACGTTCATGTGCTCCCCCCCAGCATCCCTCCTCCCTCCCATATGCACACATGGGTCAGCTTTAAAGACCAGCTGTGAGCACCAAGCACTCTCTACAGGATTAAACGGACCTGCAGACTGGTGCACCAAAGAAAGGACTTGCTGGCATTACTGGCATTTAGAGATTTTCCAAATGCATCAGAAATTAAAAGCCATTTTGCAGAGATTATGTTATGAATTTCTGTTAAGTTACTTAAAACACTGCTGTCC